CATCATATATTTCTTTGGCATTAAAAAATATTGCATGTCTCTTCATATTTATGTCTTAAAACACCATCGCGTCATGTGATTTCTTTCACTTCACTACATCTTAAAATCAGCAGGTTAGTATATTCTTTCTTTTATTACCTTTGACTGTGAAAGAAATTTATTTACAATGCTGCTTAGCTTTAAACATGATTTTTTTCTGTCTTCAGAATATCTCCGCGACTAGACATCTGTATAACTACAACCCAGATCTGTATTTGCAGAAATCTAGAGCCTGGTGCCATTGAGGAGGATTAGCAGGATTGGAAGCTGCTAGGAGAGCATTAGCAGCAGCAGCAGCAGCAGCAACAGCAGACTTCATGAGACCATGTTTGGCAAAAGTAAATAAACAGCATGGGAAGAAGGCTTCTGCAGCCCCTCAGGGTCCTTCCAGTACAGTAACGCACAGCTGAGCGCTCCAGAGAAAGCTGTCTGTCTGCCAGTTTCCCTGCATGTGTCACAATACAGGCACTGTTGGGGGATGGAGAAGGCTCACATGTGGATGGTGTTACAGGCTTTGAGTTGTCTGAACACTTTTCTTTTAAACTGTTTATTCAGTATTGGTGTAGAATATTTCTGTTTCCAAGAGGCTCCAGATTCAACACAGAGCAATGCAAAATGTGGACCTATATGAGGCTTTTCACATGACAGCAGTGCTCCCCATTTACCGCAGAGGCCTCTTTGCAGAAAAAGCATGTCACGCAGCACTGAGTGCATGACAAACAAATAATGGTTGTCTCTGTTATTTCACTGTGATACAACAAAATAGGCTGATGAAATCTAGAATGGACAGACAAGGGACAGTCGGCAGTAGGGGTGGGGAGGCATATCAGGGAAGGGCCAGGGGTACTGCCGAATTTTTATGCATGTAAGCGGGGATGTGTTGCTGGAAGCGTCAGGGACGGCAAATGTCACTCCGATGAGTCGAAAGTGTCGTGACGAGCAGCGGAGCCGTGACCTCGGATGGAGAGAGAGAGTTGAAAAACAGAGGAGAAGAGGGAGATGCAAGGCAAAGTGCAACACAACAATAAAAAAAAAGGCGGCCACAGCAGAAACAGAGAGAGAAGGAACAAAGAGAAAGAAGAACAAGAGGAAGCAAGTTTGTGGTGGGCCAACATCTAATCCTGCCAGCGCTCTGGGCTTCAGGAACAGAGGAATGATATCAGTAAAGACACATTCACAGCCTGCCTATTGCTTAAATGAGGCCACTTTTGCCCCCCCCCACCACCACCAAAAAAACCTTTTTCTCTTCTCATTCATCATCTCCTTAGCAATCACACACACAAAATGGAGAAAGACCTGGAAGCTATCTATTGCCCTCTTTTAAGAATCGCACTACATGGTTATCTGAGCATTGTTCTGCACTACCGGCCCCCAAAATGACATCTTTATTAAAGAAGTCCCATTATAAAAGAAGTGTCAGATGCAGTAAAATCATTTCAGTCTAATCAAGAGCAAAGACATCCTTAATAAAGGTGATGGCTGCTTCTTAGAAATAATCTCATTTTTATTGCTCAAAAAGCCAGAAGCTGCAAGCACAACTCTTATCAGCTGCATATTAAACAGAAGCACAACAGGGCACCTCTTTCCTTCACCAAATGCTTCTGTATAATTGCCAAGGTCTAACAAACCTCTTCGTGAACCATTGCAGTAATGCTGATATCATGCAGCCCAATAAGACACCATCAACATAATTAATAGAATCGTTTGTGCCAGGACATTGCTAGGAAGATCCCAGTGATGTTTGAATTAATCCAGATGCCAGGAAGAGCACCAGAACAGTATGTCAGCTCTGTCATTACACAGTGACAACCCATACATCATTGTAGCACTTTACTGCCGGCGGACATCAGCAAAACTGTCTGATAATTGAAATGTTATTTCACTTTGGCAACCTTGGATGCTTTTTCTGGAGAAAAAAAAATGTGAGTATGTTTGATGGAGAAGAAATATAAGACTGCCTAAAGACATGCATTCAAATATGGGACGAGAGGTAGGTTTGTTGCCTTTTGTTGTTATTCTATTTAGTGTGTGTAGGCTGTCCTAGAAGCTAAAAAAAAAATAACAACCCAAAAGCATCTATGAACAGAATTTGTTAGTGCCTAACTTTTGCTTTTTTTGTCTGTCTGGTTCTCTCAACTGTGTATTTTGTTCACCGTGTAACTTCTGAGGTGGATAAAAGCCCTGAGGCTAAAACATGAGCTAGAAGACCACATAACCCCAAGTTCAAACCTGCATTCTGAGATGAATTCAAGATCAAACATAGCAAAGGCTGACTCTGGTAAAAAGCAGGTTTTTACCCACTTGGGACACACGGTCCAGAGATCTGAATCAGAAAAGGTGAAAATGGGTTAATTCAAATTATTCTGAAGGCCAAGGGGCAAGAAGTAAAAAAAAAAAAAGAAAGAAAGAAAAAAGTCTGGCACCTCCTGTGAACAAAGTCCTCTTTACCGACAAACCCTCAGAGTCTCTTAGAAACAGAGTGGGAAAGGCATGTGACTAGAATTACTGACACAGTTTTAGCTAATCTCCACTTACTGCAGGAATCATTACATAAGGGTTTCTATGTATGCATTGCTCAAAGATCCTCACAAATGTGTTTCGATTATTTGTTTTCAAACAAGACAGGTTGCCATTGTCATATAACCCACACAGGCGAATGCACACTGAATGTTCGGTTATGCCTGAAATTTTAAATTATCTCAAACATGCATTTATCTCAACAACACTTAGGTTGGGTAAACTCAGCACTGCAGATATCCGTAACCAGTGAGCATAAGAGCACAGTAGAACCCATTAATATGCAATTTGTTGTACACTCTCAAGTACTTACAAAATTATCTACATGTAAAAGAAACTGGTGTTGTAATTGGAGCCTACTTGTAGTTACAGGAAGCAACAAATACACTAAATTCATTGTCTTAAAATTGATAAGCTCTCGGTGTTGAGTTCATTTAAAATTACAAATGTATTTGTGGTTGGTGAGAGTCACTAAACTGGAAAAATATATGGTACTCCAAGACACAGTACTAGTGCCTTGTTCATTTAAGCATAATGAGATATATATATATAT